GTGCGTGTGGGTGTATGGGTGCGTGGGCGTGTGTGTGTGTGTATGGGGGTATACCCGTGAAAGTGTCTGTGGATATGTGTATATGCGATTATGTGCGTAGTGTATGTGTGTATGTATGTGTGTATGTATGTGTTTGTGTATGTTTGTGTTTGTGTGTATGTGTGCTTGTGTGTATTTGAAAGCCTCCGGGGAAATTGTATACTCGTTTGTATACATGTGTGCTGGCCGACGACGTATTTGCGAACGCATACATATATATACGTACACATTCTTGGCCGCTAACAGATACAAATCAAGGTGCTGTTAAATTGGAACCCTGTACTATTACATTTACATATTCAAAAGGTATCTTATTCTGTCAACTTCTCCCGATGAGATGTCGCCAAAGACTCATAAATAGTGACGAGGCAACAAAAGATCCTCGACATACCTGTCGCATCAGTACCCCTGCACATATCAACAAAGTCAGGGCCACCCGGATGCACTTTTGAAAATTCAGCAAAGTCGTAGTATTCATCGTTTATACTCCATAACAGCTTGGGATGGTTTTTGAATTCCTCTCCCATCACTTTCTCGACCCCTGGGTGTTTGTAGATGAGTTGCTCACCATCTGGACTGTTGAACGGCATATTTCGTAATCAGATTCTTGACTTGTTCTCTAAGAAACAAACTTTTGGTTTGCGAATCAGTCAGTATGTCAGTTTGTGTTTAAGCAACTATGAGAGTTTTCGACAGACACCACCTCAGCTATACGTGTATTTTGAGTGCATGAACCACAGAAAAATGATCCCTCTCTCTCTCTCTCTCTAGTTAATTAGTAATGACTAGAGTGAATAGTGTTCAGTTATCAGTGTCCGCTGTTCACGCAATCGTACCAGTACTTGTGTTCACAAAAACTACTCTCTTGTGCTCTCAAATCGAATGTGCGATGGAAATAAACAGTGGAACTTTAGAACGAGAATCGGATACAGTCACATTGTATGACTCATTGAAGCTGAGCGGAATATTGTTTTTGAAGAAGAAAAATAGAAATTATGATAAATGTCAGAAATTCACAGAAATAAAACATAAATACATGTGTAAATATGACATATTAAAAATACGTATGTGACTGTATGTACATACATATGTAGCCTCTTTTTTTTTTAAACACAAAACCCTCAGCCCTCTGTATGTTTTAGCTGTAGAGAATGTTTTTTAGAAACAAATACAAATACATCCAGGCACTGCGTCATGTATTTAGCCTCCTAAAAAGAACACTTCATTTTTTTTTTTAAATATACAAATCTAATAATCTTGGCACTTGGCAAGTTGGCAGTTGGCAACTCGCCATTCACAAGAGAAGTCCAAGGGCTATACTCATAAATACCAAGAAGAGACCTAAGAACACTGCTCATAACTTTATAAGTTACACGTATATATCTATTGCCGTGTTCAACATACAGTATATACCAGTATTGTAAACGTTGCAACATATAAAAATTGCTCGTTAAACGTTATGAAACTTTTATACACGAAAGGTTAAACGTTTTGAGCTTAGGACCCTCTGGATTTGGGTCTTGAGCAGAAATCAGGTTTCTTCCGACTTAATCGTAAATTTAGCGCAGACTCAAATCCAGAGGACCTAGTCTCGGTCTCTCGGACTCTCCGTCGGAGTCGGATGGCTATCTCCCCAAGCTCCAGCCTTGTTGAGTTGACACAAGACCTCGGAGGGCGAAGGGCCGGAGCTCAGAATCTCCGAGTCTCCGGCTCCAATACCTCCATTCTCCGACCTCCGTTCTCCAACCCACTCCTCCTGGCCTCAGGCCCAGGGCTCAGGCCCCAGTAGTCCAGAGTTCCAGACTCCAGATTCCAGAACCCAGGCCCAGAGGGCCCCAGGCGCCCCCAGCAGGCTCCACTGTCTCCAGAGAGAGTCGTCGAGACTCGAGAGTAGAGATAGAGAGGGCTAAATGTATGTAACGAGAAAAAAGGTAAAGATATTTGAGGAGCTGAGTAGCTTTAAAAAAGCCTTTCCCAATTGTTTTTCTGTGTATTCACTATTCTGTATTCACAGTCATCAGTGTTCTGAACAAAGTGTTAAGTGAAGTGTGAACTTCGTCTTCTGGCAAGTTACAAATATTGTGTATGATTGCCTGCGAAGGTCCTCTCTCTGTAAATAGGTCCTAGTGGACCCAGTCCCAGTAGGGTCAGCCTATCAGGATGTCATCAGTGGTCCCCAGGCCACAGCCTCACGGCTCACAGCCACAGGCCACAGATTGTCAGTTAAATGGCTCTTGAAAAACGAAAAGGCTGGTCAACCCTAATCGTGTTTGAAAAATCACCAGTGGTCTTTGAGCGTCGGGGCCTGTTAAATACTCTAGATAGAAGTTGCTCTTCTCAAGTCTAGGTCAGTACATACGCATTGAGTGGTTTTTTGGTTGTCAGAGCCTTATTCTCTACTAGAGTAGTGGTCATAATTTATAATTTGCTCGGGCTGTTATCAGTTATTCAGTGGCTGCTCGGGCTGTTATCAGTTATTTAGTGGCTGCTCGGGCTGTTTGAATATCAGAGCCCTTTAAAAAAGACCTCTATTGGCACATTTTGTCTATATGCGATAAACTTTAAACGTAAACGCTTTTTTGCGTTTTAACGGGAAACGTAATGAGGTTAGTGCTCACTCTCAGTGAATCGCGGACTGACTTTTAGAATTTAAAGTTGACTCGGATTGGCTGCGAATTTGGTTTTGGCGCGAGAATATGTAAATATTCTGATATTTACACACATGTAGCTGAATAGCATTATGTGTATATATATTTTAAAAAAAGAGCACTTTGTTTGGTAAACAGTGTGTTTTGAAAAAAATTAAAAATTTAGACTGTAGTGTATATACGTATTTAGTACTGTAAATAGACAGTGAGCCTCCTGTGAGTGAGGTGTAAATAGAAATAAAATAACAGTATATAGAGAAATCTTGAAACCACCATAAATAGAGCCACCTACACACGCCACCTACGGTTCTAGCCACCTACACACGCCACCACAATTAGTGCAACCTACACCTCCCACCTACGAACAAATATATTCTAGCCAATCACTGGGTCTTAATTTTAAATTTTGGCACATATGTGTAGTGTAGTGGGAAAAAGTAAATTCCAGTATGAGTAGGTGGGAAGTGTAGGTTGCACTAATTGTGGCGGCGGCGTGTGTAGGTGGCTCTATTTAAGGTGGTTTCAAGATTTCTCCAGCCTGTTTGTATTCATTTACGTAGATTCAATAAGTCATAGGCTCATAGTCTTCTACATATTAAAATCGACCAGTAGACAACTAGACATTTTAAATAAAAATAGAAAATACTGCACTCGTCAGTCATCATTTGCCGCTGCCGGCCTGCCCCCTCTTCCTCTCACTCTTGACGCTGAAGTCTGGAGTCTGGAGTCTGGAGTCTGGAGTTTGGGTCTCTGCCCTCTGAGGCTCTGGGCCTCTGGGGCCCCACGCTCTCCGGTCTCTACCTCGCTGGTCTACCTCTCTGGCCTCTGGGTCTTGGCCTGGGAGCCATGGTTTTTTTCGCTTGCAATGTATGTATTTATGTAGTCGTTGTAGTGTAGTTGTACCTCATGTATTTATTTATTTTAAACAAATACGAGTTTCTCCCGCCTTACATCGTGTACGATTTTTAAAATAAATAAATCAGACAATTGTCAGTTTTTCACTGCCAACAGTGCCAAGCCATAAATAAAACAAGTAGACTATACACAGGGGAATATGAAATAGGATAGCCTTGTCCACGTTTCCAGGAGAAGTCCATAACCATGGACAGTTGGACTCCTGGACTCTGGAGTCCTGGGCTCCTGGCCTATGTAAATACACCCCGCTGGGAAACTTCAAAACTTGAAACTTTGTATTTATTTATTTTAAAAAGAACAAAAGAAAAGGCTATATATGAAACTTGTGTTTTTTTTTTGAGGATGAATACCTTTCTATTGGTAGAAAAACATTTGTTGATTCCTATGAGGCAGACTGCAGACCTGCAATTGATTGGTTGTCACGTTGGGGCATCAATGATTTGGATTGAGGAGTTTAGGTCCATTACTCCACACGATAGTCCATGTGCAATTGTGCACACACGTCACGTCGTCAGTCGTTACACTGCTGAGTGCTGAGTGCTGACCTAACCTCATCACGTATTACGTTGCAACGTTTTCAAATGAAAAAGTAAATATAAAAAGTTTCACTTTTTCCTATACTTTCGTAGTCCTAAAGCTACCCATAAGAGCATTGTCCAGGTCAGAGTTTTGTCCTAACCACCTTACCTAACTATTGCCCGCCCAGACATCGGTTCTGGAGACTTGAGCGTTAGTTGAGCGTTGTCAAGTATATTAGCTTCTAGAAGCTAAGGTATATTTAATTGATAGAGATATCTAGGATTTACAGCCTACAGGCAACAGGCTATACAGTCTACCAGTACGATTAGTTTGACTTTTATGTGTGATATTAGTGACTTTTAGTGGAAAAGACTAGTGTGACAACTTCACAAGTCCACAAGAGCCATATTGTCAGAAAAAAATATGCAAAGGCTACAAATCACTTTCTAGTTGTTTTTCATTGGTTAGTTTTGCATTTCGTGGCCAAAATTGTGAGAATAGGTGCACTATCGTGGGCAGCAAATCGAAATAATTGAGGTCCAAATTGAAACATTAAAACGTTGCAGCGTTTTCAGTCGAAAAAGTAAAAGTAAAACGTTCAACTTATATATCAATATAACTTGACTTTGTGAGGTTAGGTGCTGACTGTTGTCGCTGGGGTTTTTTCAGTTTGCTAAACACACACCTAACGTCAATAAGCGTAGTGTATAAAAGTTGAACGTTAACCGTTATTTTCTTAATTTATCGATTCAAATGAAAAAAATGACCTAACTGAGACTAGTCAGGTGAAGACTGATGCAGAATATAAAACAAACTATAATGAGAATATCTTAATAGACATCCTCACTCAGTGTGAGGTGCCTTTTGAAGTTAAAAACGCGGTGCGGATACACGTAGTCTCACTAGTTGCCTCTGAAGTCTGGCCATGGCAGGATAGGTAATACATCAACTGGACAAAGAAAAGGTGATTGACAAATGGAGACTCTAGATAGCCCTGTTTAACGGCGAGAAATTTGACAACGAGTGGTTAGATCTTCTCAATCTCGACGCCATTTGAACCACAAAAATGAACTTTTAAAGAAGCTAACCGCTGCCGCTGCTTCTGACCCTTCGATCATATCCCACGTGGCCGATATTCTTCCTATACTGAAAAAACAAATATTCCGAGTTGGGTTTCAAACCTGGATCCCACTGGTTTACCAGCCAGCAGGGTTACCACTGAGCCAGTTACCGCTGGTGAAGTGGGTAAAACCTCGAGATTTAATCTTTATAGCTCGGACGCTACTATCGACCATCCTCACGACAAACCTAACCCTGTCGGAGTATGATCATATGGAAATCGATGAGGCTTATCACCCTCATAACATCAATCCTCATTTACCATCTAACCCTGGCAATCACGACTTTGGTAATCGTTATACCAGGACCTCACTTGAGAGTACCCACTCTAGCTCTGAAGACGAGGAAGTGAGAACCAAACAACATCGTCTCAGGCTATTATGTTCTGGTATGCAAGTCTTTGAGGACCGTCTATTGAATGACTCTGACCTTGACGATAAGATAGCGGATAACATTCGCTATCTAATCAATAACAAAACAAATAGACTCCATCTTGGCACTAGCAGCCCGTAGCACTGAACGTGAGCCTTGTGAACGCTTCGAACCAAGCTTTATAAAGCAGCTAGGTAACGTGAAGGCTGAGGTCGATTTCTCTACTGAGAGTACAGTGGAGACACTGAAGGCTTTTGACCAACTTAAGGAGTCTGTCAGCCTTTAGGATAAGCAGATAATGAATGCCTTTATTCATTTCTGTGAGACAGACGAATGGAAACCTATTTTGAAGGCCCATGAGCCCAACTGAAAAGCCTTACCCTGGTCTAAAACGCCTTCTTTGAAGATGCACGTGACCGTGAACTTTCAGAGTCTCGCAAGTCCTTTGCGAACGTTACTACTATTTGAGGTTCTCTAGCTCATACGACACATATGAACACTTGGATGGGAGGACATACCTATACTGGCAAATAATTTTTATTTTGTCAGATGATGGAGACTCTGGGGGCTAACCTTTTTAAGAAGGTCAACGATGACATTATCGCCTATAGTGATTTGCGATCTATGCCTTGGTCTATCTTTGAGAAGATAGTTCAAAAGCATACCAACCCATCTACTATAGTACTTAGTACCTCGAGCTTTACCGAGCCCACTAAACGTACCGCGATAGAGAATAACACTGCACGTAATACTAAGAAACCTCGCACTTCTACTGGAGGTAGTAAAAGCTCTATTTCTACTGAACCAAAGGGTGAAAGGAAGGAGAGAGCACCTTGCAAGAAGTGTGGTTACAATCTCACTAAACATGATGGCAAGTGGAATAGTAAACACGACTCTATTAAGTGTGCACCAGGCAAGCCAAACTTTGGACACTATATGCAAGAATGTACTACTTGCAAGGGTACTAACGGTTGGCACAAAAAGGATTGGTTAAAACAGGGTCTAATTGAAATCAATTATGATACAACCCCGTTAACTTAGCTCTCTTAGCGGTCGATCAATATAAATCTGATGGAACATTTAGTAAAACAAGAGTAGTACTAGACATGTCGCCAATCAACAAACTAATTCCGCAACATAGTTTTCCCTTACCAAAGATAAGCGAGATACTACGCAAAATGGAAGGTGCGACTATCTTACCAAGGTAGACTTAAAAGCTGCATTCTATCAATTACAAATATATGAGCCACATAGAAAAAAACCTTTCCTTTACTTGGCAAGGTAAGAAGTACCAGTTTAAAGGTGCATCTGAAGGCATACACCTGTTTCCTTCTTTCTTCCAACAAGTTATGATGGAACTATTAGCGGACCTGTCGGATAACGTATCAGTATATTTAGATGATATAGTTATCTTTACAAAGACAGCACATGAACATGCTAAACTCGTTAAGGAAACCTTAAAGCGACTAAACCATGCCAAACTTAAGATTAACGAGGACAAATGTTCTTTTGCTAAAGATATTATACACTTACTTGGTTACAAGGTATCTGCTGCAGGGGTAGAAATTGATCCTGGCAAGAAACAATTTCTGTTGGATTTATCAACACCAATTACTGGAAGAGATGTGAACTCTGTGTGTGAGTTTGTTAACTTCTTCTCGGATTAAGTAACTCATCTTTCTCATTACTTAAGGCCTTTAAGTCACCTAGGGCTGTACAAAGAATCTTTGGCAAAGTTCTGGACTAAAGAATGTGATGATGCATTTAAGCTAGTCAAAAGTAAAGTAATGGACGCACCCATCATGCAATACCCTGTGGATGGCGTCCCATTCCAAGTAGCAA